CTCTGGGGCCTCAGCCCTTCCTTCCCGCGTCCCCCGGGAGACTGGAGGCGCACGGGGGGCGACTAGGCCCCGCGCCGCCGACCTGCCCTCGCCCGGCCTGGGTTTCGGCGCGGTCGGGCGTTTGGGGCTGGGGGCTGGGGGGGCGCCGGAGCCCTCGGCCCGAGAGCAGCCTCTTAGCCCGGGCCCCGCAGGTACATCCCAGAGGGAGGCAGGGGACGCCTGTGTGCAAAGAGCGTTCTCGCTCCGCACACCTAGTCCCGCAGAGCCCCGGGGGTGGAGGGGGTGGAAGGCGGTGAGAACTGGGGTGAGGAGCGGGGTCGGGGGGACCCTCAGAGGCCCTGGGGCTCCTGGAGTGTCATTCCCGGACCTGACTTCCCGGAGAAAAACCTTTTGCGTCTCATTTGAGGTGAAATTTCATCACCTGCCCTAGCTCATCCCTGCCTTCTTATATTACATCTTGCCGCTCGTGTGTTCTGTCCAAGAGAAAGCCCCATTCCAGCTATGCGATGCTAAGTTGCCTAGGTAAACATTTACAATAATGAATAAGATTTTCCCACAAAGGTCCGTCCCTCCTCCCCGCAATAAGAGAGAGGGAAAATTTTAATCTTTGAGGCCTCTGTACAAGAAGGCTTCACCTTAATAGATCCAGAGAATGAATAATCAAGAGGGTTTTTTAAAAGTCGTGCTGTTATTAGAAAAGGTACCTGATAGAAATGGAACCTGATAGAGGTAAAATGATCTGTTTTGATATTACTGTAAAAAAGTTAATGATTGCAGTTTGATACCGTAAATCAGATATTGGGATGTTGTTTGTGGTTTATGATCAATGTAGGTACAGGTTATTGTCTTCCTGTTATGTGTGTGAAGCTTGTATTAAGTAGGTGCTTTTAAAACTTTTATGATCATGAAAAAATATTCTTAATATAATAGATTCAGAAAATAACGCCAGCTTTCAATGTATACCTACTTAATAGTGGGGGAGAAATCCCCCATAACCTTATAGAACATTTTGATGGACATTCAGAGTTTATAGTGGGCTTGTCCTGATGATGATTTAAAAATTTTTTTTTTCTCATGGTGATTTTTAATGATGATTTCTGAATATTAGACTCGAAGTTAACTGACAATTCTATTTTATTGTTTAAAACCCAATCATTTGGATAACATCAAGGAAAGTGTTATTAAATTTCATTGCAGCCATGGTTGAATTCATCAACTAAAACTCAGAATAACCCTTAAAATAGCTACTTAAAAGGCTCCTAATTTACTTCTGAAGCAGCAGGAGGAGCTACTGAGGTCTAGAGAGACTTGGTGGTGTAAACAGTTTTTGAGACTCTGTTGTGAGAATCTACTGCATCCCTGTATTTGTTTTTGGAAGATTTTGTTTAAATATTTACAACTGTAAGCAAATTGGCTTGCTTAAAATGTTTTAATTGAGCTTAGGTTTTTAAAAGTCGAATTCAGTTCTATTCAGTGTCTAAAGACTCCAACTTTAGAATCAGGTGAGAATGAGTATTCAGAAATGCAGATTACTTGCCCCTAGGGTTGATAGTAGTCCAAGGATTTTTTTTCATCAAATTTCCTGCTACATTGCTCTACTGAAGTTGGAGCTAAGCTGATAAGCTTAAAGTTAACAAATGTTGTCAAGCTGAAAAAAGTCCTCTCTCTATTTTGGTAGCAAAGTTATCCATTTAAATGGCTTTACATTTATTTCCGATAGCAACAGATAATGGTGTTATGATAATCATAGAAAGAAAAATGATATTTGGGGATATACTTAATTCAATCAACAAATATTTATTGACAGCCTACTGTGGTAGCTGTGATGTTATCGAAAGACACCCTGGTCAATTACCTTGGCATGTTATCGCCCAGAACCTCATTGACATTATCTACAAAATGAGGTTAGTTATTATGCTTTTCTTACAAGACTATCTGGAAAAGGCTTGCAAACGATAAAAGATTTTTTTAATAGAAGTTTAGCTATTAATATTAAGTGCCAGGTGCTGTTTAGGTGTTCTGGGAAACACAGAAATGACCAAGGTCTCTGCTAGCAATTAGCTAATTGTGGAAGCAGGGCATGTTTAATTAACTGTTACAAAGCTGGGTCAAGTAGGTGGTGATAATTGAGTGGGACATGCAAGAACTCTGTTTAAGGCTTTTATTCTGAATCCAGAAGAGCCCTGGGGTGCAGCGTTTATATGCTCAAGTGCTAACTGAAATGGCTGTGGTTCAAACCCAAGATGTGACCGTCTACTTCGGTAAAGATGCACAGCTTTGGAAGTCCTGTGGGGCACATTCTACTCTGCCCTTGGAAACAACGTGGGTTTCCTGTAGGCTTACTATGAGTTTGAATCTATTTGATAGTAGTAGTGGGTTTAGTTACCCAATCCAGTATTTCGTACGTTAAGAACATTAATAATAATACATTTTGTAT